AGGAATTCTTTGCTCGGCGTGTTCCCTTTGTGTTGCTCTGCTGCTTTCTGCTCTCGTCTTTTTCTGTATTACATGGTTATCACATCTCACCTTTTAAGTGTGTGTATGCTTCTCTCACATGTCTCTGTCCAGTTTTGTTAGAGTAGTGCTCTTCAACAGCTATAAATCCCAGTGTATTCAAGCTCTAAGACTTATCCCAGCCAAGGCATGTTGTCCTTCTCATTACAAAGAGAAAGCCTCAAAAAATTCTCTCGTAGGCCTTGGAATCTTGTAGTAATTATTTATAAAAAATGGTTGATTTGTTTTTCACACAAGTGCTTGTTTATGTCGAAGCTCTGGATTACCTCACAAAGTACTTTGTGGTACTGAGCTGCAATGTCTTTTTGGGTAGAAATGTATCGTTTTCGGAATTTTATTTGCTGGGTAGTGATATTAGGGAGAAAGAGGAGAAACTAAGTTTTCTCACTACAGTAGAAGGGGGAGGGTGTAGTAGTAGTGAACACTAATCCCATTTGTTAGGGTAGCACATCCTTCCTTCACACTTTTTAAAACTCGTCTAAGTTCCTTTAATGGATTAAATGCAGCTCCGTGAGGAGCTGAGGGACAGCGCTGGCTGTGTGGGAAGAGGGAACAGGAACTCACGTTGGTTTTCTGTCTGATTTTTGGGCAGATCTCTGCTAATCTCATAGTTCTCCTTTCACCAGGCACTTTGAAGAGTTTGACTGCCCACCCCATCTTGATTAAGATTTCCCTGGAGTCTCTTTTTTTGTAAAACTCAATCTTTCCTCATAGATTGGATGCTTCAGTGTCTTGATCATCTTAATGGCCTATTCAAAATGAAGCTGTTTTTATTAGAAGAAAGCATGCTGTTGTAATAATGTACACGTTATTTCCAGTAGTAATGTAGGGCATGTACGAAGGAGGAAAATATTGCACTAAGTTGAATATTGCAGGAAATGGAAGGTGTAAAAAAGGTGCACACAAAGAAAACCCTGCCTTTTTCCCATATTACCTGACATTTTCATGACAGAAGGTAATGATTTTCACTGAAAATCGTTGGGACAATAGGGAGTTTTGAAATACTGAAGTTCTTAGCTGTGCCTGAGTAAAGTCAGGCAAACACACACGGAAGCTGAGAGTTGAATGAGGGCTTCTTGGAGATCACTTAATCAATTGAAGGATGCTTTTTAAACATTTGAATTTATTGCATAGATGTACAAATTGTGTAGTTTTGTGATGTAGAAAGCCCAATGTTTCCTTGAGTGACCTCCTTCTGCCATCACGCTAGGGGTGCATGCTTCTACCGGAAGGTGAGGGTTTTTTTTTTTTAAAAACAAGATTTATCCTTCTGTCAAGTGCGTGTTAGGAGCTTAATCTGAGGATTGTCGTATGAATGAATAAAACTTGTGGAAGCGGGAGGACAGTAAAACTGTTCTGAGTGTTTGTGTCCCTTTCTTCAGCGCTGCTCTCTCTGTTCCAGAGCTGCCAGGCTGGAGTGGCTCAGTGGAGGGCAGCGTGCAGCGGGTTATTACGGGCAGCCGCAGGCCGAGGCCAGTGCAGATGGATGCTCTGCAGTATTCTCCAGGTAGGATATCAGAGTGTGTTAAAGTGAGTAAAGAAAAATTTATGGGTTTTTAAGTAAAGAGGCTTTTCCAAGTGATGTGTTCACTGTCTGTGGATTGCTGAGATATCAAGGCCACTTAAAAGCTTCCTGCTGCTGTAAAAGGGTGAGCTCCTACTCGTTGCTACACACTTGGTGTTCATTACCCAATTGTCTTCATTCCAGCTGTGTAGTCTTTTATTGGATCCAAATGATCTGTCATGAAGAGATTAAGTGCAGAAGCCCAGATGTAGGTGGTGTCTTTTCCAAAGCAGCTGTTACAAGCTAATCACGATTGCATGTGATTTCCAGGACTTCATTTTGTAGGATGTCTCCACTGTTCGGTAGCCTTGGACTTTCTCCTACTGGTGGTGTGTTTACGTACCACATCGTGACGTTAAGTAGTGTTGTTTGAGTGGAAAGTGCTGCTTTACGGTTCTGCTTCCAGTTCTGTAAGAGCAGGCAGAGTGCTGGGTTGTTCCTGCCCATCGTAAATTAGCTAGAACATCCTGTAAGAGCAGTTAGTAATAAAGTGGTGAAAAATGTGGAGGAAGTGGGAATAAATGCAGGCTACCTGAACAGATTAGAGGGTTTCCTTCTTGCATACAATGAAACGAGAGGAGATCAAGCCTCTTCTTTGTCCTCCTGTATGTTACAACTTGTATCCTAGAGCTGCGATTTAGAGTTTTAGAAACTTAACGTGTGTGCTCTTTGGCTCTGAGCTCTTCTCAGATAAGACCTTCCAGTCCTGGGGAAATTGCCCATGAGTTTGGGGCACAACCATGTTGGTGAAGCGTCAGTCCCTGTCGTGTAGCGTAGGATGTTGGGAGTAGGGAGGGAAATGAGCAGTTGTGAAGTGGATTGATCAGGTTGGGCTTACTCTGAGCCACCAGCAGATTCAGTAGGCTCCTGGGAATAACTTTGAACCAACCAGCACATTTACTTGAGTTTATTCATAAACAAGTAACTGCTAATCTGGGTGTGCTGAGAGGCTAAGACAGGCATTCTGTTCCGTTCTGTTCTGCAGCTTCTTGCCTGGAGATCCCACTCCCTCCTACTTGATAGTTTTCTTTATTGGGCAGTAGCTCTGTAATGCAAATCAGGTGCTGTGAAGTTATAGTGGTTGTAGTGGTAGCTTTTACCCTGTGATTTGTTTTTCTCAAGTCCTGGCCACCAGGGCAGCTGAGTGAGTGGACTATAAAGTTGTAGAAAGAAATAGCGTACACTGTTTCTTTGCAAGGCCAGGAAAAAGAATTATTCCTTATTAACAGACAAACCCTGTAATTAGAAGTACTGTGTGAGAAAATCAGAGCAGACAGCCTGTGGCTTTTGAGTGGAGTGTTCTCCCAGTCCGTTCCATTGGTACCTTCACGGAACACTAGATGACGTGTGGTGTGGAGCATTAGGCATGGACAACTGTTTTGTTAGTAACAGTTTTGATCATTAAATTGTGCTTTTTGGGAAATAAAGTTTTTCAGGATTACACTGAACCATAATTGACGTGGAAGCAAACTAAAGGTAGTTGGTGTCAAGTGAAGTGTTTGCTAGTCAATGGCCTCTTCATATTTTTCTTTTCTTTTTCTTTTATCGTTTTTATTAGAGACGCAAGGCTGCCCAGTTCCAATCGCCTAAATCCTGTGGTGGATTGATTCAAGCCAATGGAGCCGTTATGCAACACACCAGATCATTTTACAATACAAATAAGGTTTGAAGAGTTTAATGCTTTTCTGTGCTGGGGGTTGTACAAATAGGGGTAACAAAACACTTTTCAAAACTTGTAGGAAATTATTCAACTTCTGTATCAAATGTTTTAGTACAGTTTGAACACCGGGTCCAATAATTTGAGAAGTGCTCTCTTTTCCTTTCCAGAAAATGAAGTGCTAGCACAGGAAGGTGCCGTTACAGTTGGAGTATCTGGGGTGAAGGTTGCAGTGATAAGCCTGAGGGCTTCTTTCCAATGAGAGAAGAAAATAAGTTAAGGAGAGCAGTTACTGGGGTGAGAGGCAGATGTTCCTCTCTTGAATTTAGGAAGGGAAACACAGAACTTGCCCAGACATATTAAAAGTGACAAGATGTTTTCTGAGTCTTTACCTTGGAAGTAATGTGTGCTGATAGTTTTGCTATCTGCTGAACGCTGAAAATTGTTGTGCAGTCTACTAATAATGACTAATTATTGTGCAGTAATTTATTTCCTGTTCGTCTGTACTGTTTTGTTAATTTGTGGTCTCTGCATCTCTTACATTTATTGTCTTATGTCTTGGAATAGAAGTTTTCTGGAGCATGAATAATCTTCCTAGGGTTAGTTTAGCACTTAATCCAAGAGAGTCAGCGTCTCTCAACTAATAAGTGTCCTGCTCTTTTTAACGCAGTGTGAAGAAAATGGTAAAATTCAGTGTTTGCACGAGAAGCGAGAGGACAGAAAGAAAAAGAAAGTTAGGGATTGATGGGCAAAACCTGCCTAAAATCCCAGTTTACTATCTACCTAATTGTGTATTTTGTTGGTGCAGAATTAGAGGTAAATACAAAAAAGCATCTTAATTTGGTTGTTTTGATATAGATAGATGAAAGGAAGGAAAACAAGCAGATGCGTTGTAGGAAAGAAATCCTGGCTGCTGATTTCATTTAGTTCTTAACTACATGTCTTCCTTTTTGTAGTCCAGTTTTCAGTGGTTTTCAGCCAGGTGAGCAGCTAAACTTTTTGCAAAGAGACTGAAGCCTCCCAAGTGTCTTGCACAATTTCCCATGGCCAGAGCTAAGAGCAGAATCCCGGCACTCAAACGTGGTGCAGACCCCGAGTCCCTCTGCTTGCCTCCGCCTCCCCTCTTGCAGCTGCACGAGTGTCATTTGCAGAGCAGGGCTGTTACAGTGACGGACAGTAGGTGGTAACAAGAGGCACGAATATCTTCATGGCAAGGCTGTGGTGGTTTGACCCTGGCTGGCAGCCAGGTGCCCACCCAGCCGCTCTGTCACCCCCTCTTCTCAGCTGGACAGGGGGAGAAAATAGCACAAAGGGCTCGTGGTGGTTGAGTCACCATCCCTGGATGTGTTCAAGTGTCATTTAGATGTGGTGTTGGGTGAGATGGTTTAGGGGTGAGCTTGTAGTGTGGTGTTAATGGTTGGACTTGATGATCCCAAGGGTCTTTTCCAGCCTGAATTGCTTTATGATTCTATAGCTTGAGGTGAAGACAAGGAGATCAGTTACCATCCTGGGCAAAACAGAGTCAATTTGGTGAATTTAGTTCACAATCAAATTAGAGAAGAGTAATGAGAAATAAAAGCAGATCTGAGAAGTAACACCTTCCCCCCACCCCTCCCTTCTTCCCGGGCTTAACGTTGCTCCCAACTTCTCCACCTCATCCCCTCGGCGCAGGGGGTTGGGGAATGGAGGCTGCGATCAGTTCATTAGATGTTTCTACTGCTCCTTCTTGCTCTGGGGAGGGACTCCTCACTCTTCCCCTGCTCCAACATGAAGTCCCTCTCACGAGAGACAGTTTGTCACAAGCTGCCCCAAAAGGGTGCAGTCCTTCAGGGGAAACTGCTCCAGTGTGGATCCCTGGCAGGAAGCACTCCTGGTGAGAAAGTGGCTTGGAATTAGATGAGCTCCAATTATTTCATTTTGATAGTTGGTGTCAAAATTAAGAGAATTGTGACTTTGAACACTGAAATTCAAGTATTGAGCAGGAAAGTCAGCCTGAAGTGGGCTTGTGCCCCTTCTGGATGAGCTTATGAGTTATAAGACATATTTTTGAAGTTTCCTCTCTACATTTTCTAAATCTGATTTTGTATGTATTCATAGGACTGTTTAACTGCATTTGGCTGCGGTGCTGGCATTGGCAGGGTGAACCGCGTACCTCTGCCCGTAGGCTGGACCAAACGCTCACTGCTTACATTCTCCTCTCTGTGGCTTGAGCTAGTCCAGGCAGACTTGCAGAAGAATGATGAAAGAATCGTGGTATTTCTTAGAAAAAGAGTATTTTCCCACCAGTCATTTTTTTTTGGTGATGAGCTAACAACAGTTGGCTTGAGGTGATTTGGGTTTTTAACCTCACTTCCTCTGTGTAATGAAAAATCCATGCTGAGGGAGATATTGTAGTGCCTTTGTAGAGAAGAGGCACGTAGTAAAATTAATTTGCCTGGATTCTCTAAGGGTTTAGCATGATTTTAATTCCTCTGGAGGAGATGAAAACTGGGACACGAGATCTCTGCTGAGCATGTGTATGATGCTGCCCTATAAAAGGAAGAAAAAATACTGAAAAGGGGAGTAGGAAATAGTTGGTTGTGGCTTCTTCTAGGAAAATTGGGAGCATCCAGTAAAATTGCAAGGTTGGTTTTAAAACAGGCAGAAGGGGATTTTTTTCTTTACAGAACTAAACTCTGAAGCTCGTGTACCACAACTCCGTGTCAGGGAGGTTAAACGCTGCAGTGCTGAAGGTGCGTCCAATTGTAGCTGCCCAAAATGAAGGTGTGGATAAATTTTATAGCGCAGGAACGACTGTCACAAGCTGGGCAGGTCCACGTTGGGAAGCTGCGGGGGCGGTGTGCTATATTTCTCTGCTTTTGTGTCTTGTGTGAGTATCTGCTCCGGGTCCTTGTTGGAGCTGGTGTCCTGGCCTGAGTGTTTGTTCTGGCCACATACGGCAGTTCTTACGTTGCTAAATTGCTTCCCTACTAAGAAAATTCTTTTCTTAGTATGTTCACGTCTTAGGAGGAAGTGTTCAGGGTAAAATTCCAGCTACTTAAAGCAATTTAACATTTCTTTGGTCAGGGAGCTTGCTCAGATTATAATGACTCTCAGCTGTATTCCTCAGGTGTGTGTAGGAGACTGACGTGCAGTAGATTTTGGTTGGATGGGTTAAAAGTAGGGTAACTCTTGGATAGCAAAATGTTTGTACTGCGTACTTAATTCATTAGAAATTATTTGCTGGAATACGAGTGGTAATTACTGAGAGCTTATTGCTACTCCTAGGGTGCTTAGAGGCAGAATTCCATAAAGATTTTGTATCGGTCCGATGGTGTTTCAGGTGTGTAGTAAAGCTGGAGGAGAGTATTCATCTTCGTGTTTGTCCACACTGCAAATCAGTGGAGTAAATACTTTCCTGATCTAGATTTTCTGCAAGTGCCATTTAGATGAACTGTGTAAAGGGAATAACAACCAGCCTGGGCGAGCTTCTCACTGAGGATAGTGGGTTTGTGTAGCTTTCCTAGCATTAAGATGGATCTGATTAATTTATGTAATATGTAATTGCTGTAGGATAGGATTTGCCTGTGAGAGTGAGAGAGGGAGTGTCAGAAGTTAGATTGATTGACTGTTTCTGTGATTTGTTTGGTGGTTTTATCGGTAAAAGATGGAAGTCCAAGTAAAGACACACTTCTAGGAAGAATAAGAGAATCTGGAATGGGAGCCATATGTTGGAAAGCAAGTTTCCGTAGAGACTACTTGAGCTCCCAACAGGATACTTGTATCGAAGTAGTTGTGCATTTGTAAACAGAAGAATATCACAGGGAAGAAACAGTGTAATGTTTTGCAAAGAAAGCCTAAACATGGTTTTGTTTTGTGGAACAAAGAAGGTAAACAACCCATCTAAAAGATACTTGTATCGAAGTAGTTGTGCATTTGTAAACAGAAGAATATCACAGGGAAGAAACAGTGTAATGTTTTGCAAAGAAGCCTAAACGTGTTTTGTTTTGTAGAACAAAGAAGGTAAACAACTCATCTAAAATTCTCTATTAAACTTGTAGATTTTCTCACTGAAATGATTTGCCAGATTTAGCGCTAAGACTGAAACATGTGATACTTTGATTTCACAGCGTCTTTCTGCTAAGGATTCCTTGCAGCCATCTGAAGAGAAAGTGGGTGCCTTCACAAGGATCATAGAAGCAATGGGTTTCACAGGACCTCTGAAGTACAGCAGATGGGTAAAGCATTCATTTAATAACTCTTTCAGAGTTCTAAGAAGCAAACAGGAAAAAAAAACCACTTTTTTTTTTTTTCTTGTAATTGGAGCAGTGCTTAATGGAAAAGTTCTAGTTATTACCCATGTCAATTCCTGTTTTGTGATGTGAGGAATAGTAATCCATGGCCTGCACATCCTTCAGTCTGTGCATTGCCGTCAGTGACATAAGTAGGAATATTGTATTTCATTCGTAGAGAATCCTTCTTGAATTTCTTCAAGTGTTGTATTTTCCACTTCATTTGTGCACCAAAGAACCCAGTAAGAGCATTACTATCTAAGTCAAGTGCCCACATATACCATCATCTTTTCGCTAATAACGACCACTAGAAGTTATCTATAAAGAGTTTAATTACAGGAAAAGCACATTCAGATGCTTTTCTCATGTGTTTCTCCAGCTTACAACAGTTGCCAGTTTCAGGACTTCTTGCATGAAAATGGGCATTTTTCTGTAATCTCTAGTGAGGGATTTTTCTTCTGTAAATTTGTCCAGTTGTACTTTGAAATCTTGTAAGTTTTTAGCATCCATAGCATCCAGTATCAGGGGCCTCCATAGCTTGAATACCCACTGGGGAAAGAAGTACAGTTGTTTCCAGTTGGCATCTTTTTTGTACTTTAATAAAACCAGTGATTATTCTTTCCTTGGAGCAGATGTTCACATTCTCCCCTCCAGTGAGGATTTTGTAGACTCACATATTCCATAGTAGTATCTTAGTTTTTCTCTGGACCATGGAGACTTTAGCCTAACTTGTTTCTGTTATTTAGGCTCTGTCATGTTTCGCTGTTTGCTGCCCTTCTCTACCAGGGTTCTGGATCTCTGTGACAGGAGGGTCTCCCAAACAGACACCCGTGAGCTAGATTACAGTTGCTGTTTGAGTAGCTGACAAGGGTAGAGTCACAAATAGGTGTGTTTTTTTTAACTAATCCTTTCATAAAGCAGTTGTTAACACTGACGAAATGAGAGCAGCTCTGTAAGAGACACCTTCTCTTCCTAATGTGGAAGGAAGAAGAGGTGGAATTTGTAATTTCTTTGCTCTGAGCTGGGTCACAGCATAAAGGCAGCCTGAAGGAAGGGCCGCGCCCGGCTGTGAAGGAATTAAAACCTACAAGGTGCTTTGAATAACCGCAAGGCAGAGTGGGCCTCCTCTGGGGCTGATCTGAAACCGTCGCTGATCCCGTCTCGCTCCTCGGAAAGAATATTATAAAGAAGAGATAAGCGGCGCTTAGCGGGGTTGGGCATTTTAGTTAACATCAGGTGCTTTTAATCAGGTGATGCTAAACCTGGAAAGAGGAGTTTCTCTCCCATGTGCTAGAGTACATATTGTTGTAATAAAGATTCTTGCTGGTTCTCCTTAATTGCTGCTCTTTACTGCCTGCTGGGAGCTTGGGTTTGGAGAGAGTTATTTTGTGGTTAGGGCCCCAGAGACCCGAGTTCATTTTTGGCCTTGCCCAGGGCTCTCTCTGAGATCTCGGGGACGTTTCTTAATCTTTCTCTGCTATTTTTTCCATTTTCTTCTCCCTTCCCCCATACCTCTTCTGCACCCTAAAACTTGGGTGATGAAATTCCACCAGTTTCTTCTGCATTACCTGCATTATTTAAGGGCCGCATTGCAGGAGCTGTTCCTGACAATATGTTTTTAACGCGTAGTAGTGCTTGGTCTGGGACAATGGCTTTAACCAGGGGCATCTACTCCCACACCAGGCAGCATTTCCTTGAAGAAGGAAACCTTCAGAACTCCAGTAAGCAGTGTAAATTATTTTACTGCAAGAATTCTGGATGTATACTTGGTTTTTGACAGAATCCTGAGATTATTAAATAATAAAAAGAATGGCTTCTGTGTTCCCACAGTGGAAGATCAGTTGCAACTTCTTAATTTTTCTGGTAGTTTCAAGGGCCATTTGACAGGCAGTGTGTTCATCTCTGTAGTATAGTGAACACTGAGATGATCCCTAGTATATGGCACTAAAAATAAAAAAAGGAAAGAGAAAGTGAAACAAAACAGCCCAAGCCTCAGCACGTGTATCTTCATGATAGATGACGCCTGAAGGAGTTTCTGATTTCTTGGCAGGCAGAAATGAGAACTGCTAGAGCACCTGAGCATACCTCATGTCATTTGTCATTTGGGATTCCTGTCTCACTTGTGATGCTTGGTTGATTTTTCATTTTTGTAGGAAAAAAAAAAAGATAATTTTAGGACATGTCTGGTATGTCACTTCTTAAATATTAAAAAGTTAAATTATACAAACCACTTTGCGTGGTATGCATCAATTAAAGTTATTGGAAGAAACCAGGAATTGTGAATTGGCATATTTGGAGTCTCTGTAAGGAAAGCCATTTAATTTATTTCTTCTTTGTAATGACAGTGTTACATTAAACTAGATTTGGAAGAGTACTCAAGAAGCCATATCATTTTTTTTCTCAAGTCAAGATTGATTGTATTTGTGTCACTCTCTGGAGATATAAGAGGTTAATGTGCTCCTGAAAATTCCAAGTGATTGTGATTCTCAAAAGAAGTCTTTCCAGAAAATTATAGTCCATGTGTTTAACAAAAACAGTAGTGTTCTCTAGCTCTTGTGATGAATACTTTTAAGTATTGTCTTTTCTTTCTCTTTAGAAAATTAAGGTAGCAGCTTTGCGCATGTACACGTGCTGTGTGGAGAAAACTGACTATGAGGAATTTTTTAACAGTAAGTAACGGACTTCATGGTTTTTGGACTATTACCCTGGTGAGAGAACTTCTGATGAAAATTCATTAGATATCTTTATACCAATAAATGGGACAGCAGGACAATTTGTCAGGTCCTGACAGTGCTTGGTCTGCCAGAAACTGAATGTATGAGAACAAGAACTAGGACGGGACAGGTAAAACCCAGAATATCATGGATTTTGAAGGATATTGCCTTTTTTATTACCAGGGCTGGGATAAACTGAGAATCCAGATCTCCCTTCCCTTTTTATTGTGGTCCCGTGGTCTCTGTGTCGTACTGTGGCCCGTGACCAGTTGTGAGGTCTGGTATAACTGGGATGCAGGTGTGAGAACCATCCCCGTGCACTGAGGCACAACTTTTTTTGTGATAGAGGGTTAGTTAGATCATGGGCTCTACCCATCTCTTCCTCAGGGCTGGGGCAAGTTTGGCTGGAGCTTGGAGGCTTTCTGTGATTTACTGACCATGAGAGCATTAAACCAGGACACATCTCATGCGTAGCAGGTGGCATGACTAGAACAGAGACACAAGTTCCTCCTTTAAGTATTTAGGAATAATATTGACTTGAATTGGGGTGGCTTGATGTTGCTTTAGCTATTAGCTGTAAAATCAGTTGCTACTTTTTAGTATCAAATCTGGCTGGCGAATAGGGAAGATGTGTTTCTGAGATTCATGCAAGCTTCAGTAGTAGTTTGTTCTTCTGTCAGTGGGATTTAACTGGTAGTAACCCCATTGCCTGGATCTGGCCTGTCCCCTGAATTCCTGAGCTACCCCATGTTTGTTACGGCTTTACAGTGCACCAGCACAGGCTGGAGCTGCTGCTGCCGCTTCTTGAGAGCTGAGCTGAAAGGACGCCGTGTGTTCATCTAGCGCAGAGCTGGCTGAGGGTACGCCGTTGCTGCTGCAAGAGTTTCCAATGGTTTTCAAAAGGTTTTCCAAACCTGTGATGTGGCTTCAGCGGTTGCAGGAGTGAGAGAACTCTGTGAGCAGCAGGATTCGTCGTTAGTGAGCAAAAAAACCCAGAACCTCGTTTTTCCTGTACACACGCCTCTCTGCAGCTGGGTGCCCTCTCAGGCTTTCTCAGATAAGTTCTCTTCTGTTTGTCAGAGCTGCCTCTCAAGTAGAGGCCTTGCTATTCTGAACTGGTGTTTTACTATCTCAGCTTAGCAGGTTTATTGTACAAAGACGTATAAACGTTGCCCTACATTAAAATGTAAAGGAATTTCAAAACATATCTGTGAAAAAGATAATGGCACAGATTTTCAGGCTCACTATTGAGTAAAATGACTTCAGTTGTATTCTTGATATTGTCTTAGTTTCAAAGAGAAAATTCCCAGAGCTGCCCCTCACCTTAAACATATCACAAACAGCAGGCAGCCTTTCCTTTAGCTTCCACCACTTTCTCCAGAGTGTCATCGTTTTTGCTCTGTAGGACAAGTTGTAGCCAGCCTGTCTCTGAATTTACACCCAAGGAAACCTGTGTTGGCATTTTTTTTTTAAAGAAGAATAGAGTTTGTTTTGCTGAGATTGACAGTGCACAATGCACCCCTTGGTGTTAGAAGAACCCTGTGGGGTTGGGGCCTATCGCTGTGGTTCCAAAGAAATTCTTTCATATAAAAACAGATATAAGAAGTTTCTGTTACTTCTGTCTGCTTACAGCTGCAGCTCTTTGGGGGATTAGCTCTAAAATTTTAACAGTCTTGTGATCCGTGTTCAAAAAGTAGTTTCATGGGTAGCTGAGTTGAAATAGCAGCCAAAGGAAAAGGGTTCGCTCGCATCCTCATCTGCTGCCTCACTTCTGGACTGGACAATTGTCATGTCCTCTGGTGAACTGTTCAGGTCACTCAAAAGAAAATAGCCCGGTTTGGTACTGACTTGCAGCATTTGTGAATGAAAGTGGCGCATGGAGGAGTCTGGTGGACAGCACCTGTGGCGTAAAATAGGTGGTGAGTACACTATTAAGGGAGCAGAACGTGGTGCGAAGCAAGATATCCAGCTTTCAGTTCAATTCATCGTGTCTTCATCAAACTAAGTCAGTCAGGAGCTGGGTTTTTTTCCTGTTCTGAATGGCTCCTTTTCCAAATAAAGCTGGGCCTTGCTTAAGCCAGGACTACAGCTCACTCTTGAAAGAGCAGCCTGGGGGAGTAGTGGGAAGAATCATAGAATTGTCTGGGTTGGAAGGGACCTGAAGGATCATCCAGTTCCAACCCCCCTGCCATGAGCAGGGACATCCCCCACGAGATCAGGCTGCCCAGAGCCCCATCCAGCCTGGCCTTAAAGACCCCCACGGATCCACCCCCTCTCTGGGCACCCTGTGCCAGGGTCTCCCCACCCTCATGAGGAAGAACTTCTTCCTCATGTCTAATCGGAATCCACCTGTTTCTAGCTTTGCTCCATTCCCTCTAGTCCTATCACTACCTGACAGCCTAAAAAGTCCCTCACCAGATTTCCTGTAGGCCCCTGGAGATCCTGGAAGCCACAATAAGGTCTCCTCGGAGCCTTCTCTCCAGACTGAACAGCCTCAGCTCTCTCAGTCTGTCTTCATAGGGGAAAGAGGAAGCAACTAACTGTAAACTGTTTCCCTTGGTGATGTAGCAAGCACTGCTGTGCCTGAGACGGTCCCAGCATGAGGGCTGCGCACCCACAGGATGAATTCCGTGGCTTCGGGACCCGAAGAGTAGTAATGGTGCCGCAGGGCCCCAGCTCAGCTCTGCCTGAGCCGGAGCTGGCTGTCTGCAGACCTGCTTGGCTGCCCCAGGGGACCTGTGGCTCCAGTTGCATGGTGTTGAGATATCCACGTGAACTGCACAGAGTCAGCCCTGGTCTCTGGAGAGCTTATTAGCTTTTGCTCTGCCGTTTCTGAGAGTTGTTAACCTCCTGAGCTGGCCTTGGGAACCCTGCGTCCACGCAGGTGTGAAACTGTTTGTGGGCTCGTTAACCCCGTGTGATCAGAATGAGTTCTTCAGAGGGAGCCGCCTTCGGGGTTTCTGGACCTGCTGTTCAGATGTGGTCGTGCTACGGCGTGAGTAACCGCTGCAGCGTGGCCTTACGGAGCGCGGGTGGCTGCGTGGGTTTTGTCAGGCAGTTCTCTGGCAGAGGGGACGTAGGGTGTGAAGACTGGACAGGGTGGTGTCGGGTACTAGGACAGCGACAGCATTTCGTGTCTTACAGGCTCTCTCGCTGTCTCGGCACATTTCTGCTGATGCTTGGTGAAATTTCTGAGACTCTCTGTTACACGGTCCAAGCCCTTTGAACTGCCTTTCTTTGTATTATGCCTTAGAGCAGCACTTCCCAAAACACAGACTATGGATATGCAAGTCATGAGGCCCCTGCAGCGTATAAAGGAGGTGTTTTAATTGAGACTCTCTAGTATTGTGCTTCGGTTAACTTTTTTATACCTGCCATTCTGTTGTCTCTTTGTTTTGCGATCATCCGTGGACAGAACTTTGGGAACTCTGCTTTAGAGCCTGCAGCCCAAACGTGCTGCCTGTGGAGCAGGTTTAGGACTTCTTGTTTAAGGAGAGCAGAGAAGCAGTAAAGGGAATAGCACGATTACTGGTGCCAGGCTTTCTGTGCACGAAGCTTGCAGAGCTCGGCTAGTTCTAACAAAATAAAGGAGGAGCCACCTGTGAGGAGAGTGTTTTTGTGCCTGACCTTGTACTTGAAAGGTCAAAAGAGCTTTTAGGATCGGGGAGGGATGACACCGAGAGTTATGCTGAAGTTTGCCCCGATGAGCATGAGGTGTGGGCTTACCTCGGTTTCATCTCGAGCTGTCTGTACTGTTAAACTGCCCCACTGTCATGTAGCTACAGGAGCAGGGAGATGACTCCCAGTGGGGCTTCCAAGCACCTTGAAAAGGCTGGAGTTTATGGAGGGAACTCTGGATTCTTCTGCCTCCCTTAGCCCATCAGGTGCCCTAGAGGCACTTGCTGCTCGCTGTCTTGCTCAGCAGAGCGCGCCTGTTTTTTTTCAGGATGTGGGGATATTATCCCATTGTGTCCTTCCTAAAATTGTGGGAGTGGCAAAGACCATCTGTCGTGAAAGTTAGTTCACGTTCCAGTTTTGCATCCCTTAACCGGTGAATTCTAAGTGCGGAATGTGACTGGAGGAAGAGGTATGTGCTGCTAATCCTGAGCGTTCATGTCTCCTGTCATACACAGACGTAGGAGCAGGATGTGTTCTGTGAACAGCACAGATTTATTCCCCAGCTGATAATTATCACAGTAATTACCATTAGATATTTTTTACTTATCTAACTGTATTCTGAAGGGAATAAATTTCTCTTTTGTTACAGCATGGATCTTTTCCCTCAGTTTTCCAGAATAAGGTGTTCCAAATCCCCAAATGTTAGAACTGCGTTCTTGTTAAAAAGCTGGTATCTGAGGGCAAGCTTGTTACTTTAAAGAAGCCATCTCTCCTTTAAATTTAAAACGTAGACGGTCCTAATGTAGAAGTTAAAAAATGAATTACAAAAATAGAAGTGCAACACGTGGAAAGTTAGAGAAAAAATTCTTCCCTCCTGGGTACTGAATAAGTCTTTACAGACTTTCTGTATTTCCAGTAGTAGAGGTGTGAGCTTTGCTTTCCACTGAAGAGTGATTTCTGTGGTGGGAGACTGATACGTGGGACCTTCTTCAGAAACCTCTGACGGTGAACTAAGTGTTTTACTCCAAATCTTGCCCGTGGAACCTTCCTTTAATGAAATGCTTTGGTTAATGCAAGCATTGTGTGCTCTTGCCCTAGTTAGAGGTGCCTTGGCATGCCTTCAGGTCAAAGTAGTCATTTCTAGGCACATGAACTATTTCTAATGGGAACGAGAGGGCCAGAAGGGGAGAAGGGTGAGGGAAGCTTGTGTTTAGTCTCCAAACATCGACTGTTAGCGTCTTTATACGGTCTTAGAGGGGGCAGTGATGCTGAAGCTTGGCGCCACCCAGGCACCGATGGAGTCATCCCTCTGAGGAAGGAGGAGCAGTGATTATTTGCTTGGTTCTTGTGGTGGTTGCTTGACCGTAGCTGGCTTTAAAAAGGAAGAGGCTGTGCAGAGTATTGCATCACGATCCAGGTGAATCTCCTGGGTGATACTTGAGAGCCAAGAGGCACAGGGGTTGGGAGGGACTGTATGCAACACACAAAAGATAAAATTGAGTCCCTTGGGGCACATCCAGCTGCAGAGTCTGTTTCTGAATGCTCACTGGCCTTCTTAGAGCTCGCTTTGAACAGACGAGACCAAGGGCTGGGTAGGGCCGAGGTGGCTGTGTTAGATCCTCCTCATGAGGTACTCCTCTTGAAAACTTCTCCAGAAAACAGATGTGGAAGTGACTTCCTAAGAGGAAGATTCAAGACTGACAGGAACGTAAGGATTTTATGGGCACACAGCCGTAGGTCTGTGCTTTCCAAGCGTGAGGAAGATGGTTTCTGTGCCACATAACCTAAATCTCTAGCCTCGCATCCTGACGAGACGTGCAGATCTGTAGCGTGGGGGAGGTACGCTCCGAGGGCTGGGGGTTGTACAGCCCCGCAGGAAATCAGAACGGCTGAGTTGGAAAAAAGACCCAGCTGGCACAGGGTTCTGTCCCCGGCAGGGTGCAAAGGAGTAAGAACGTGTAAGAATGGAGCAAAGCATTGATACTTCCTTGTTACTTTCTACTGCTTTGGCGCTTCCTGAGCTAGAAGCCACATGCTTGTCTAGTTTTCCATTTTGAATATTTTTTTTTTTCCCCCCTGTAAATATTATCTGAGTTCTAAACACATGAAATCTTCTGGAATCTACAGTGTCCTGTGACTGCACGGTGCCTCGAGTTTAAGCACAAGCGTGACAGGAAATGATGTTTGCTCCTGATGTGTGTGTACTGCTTAGGGCCAGGTATTAAATCACTAAAATGTGTTTAGATTTCTCTGTAGTAAATTTCTGTTGACAGGTGCAAAAAGTGTTGAGATTCGTATTAATATTTAATTTTAAATCTTCTGGAATCTACAGTGTCCTGTGACTGCACGGTGCCTCGAGTTTAAGCACAAGCGTGACAGGAAATGATGTTTGCTCCTGATGTGTGTGTACTGCTTAGGGCCAGGTATTAAATCACTAAAATGTGTTTAGATTTCCCTGTAGTAAATTTCTATTGACAGGTGCAAAAGTGTTGAGATTCATATTAATTTTAATTTTGGTTTTGTTTTGTTTTATGTTTTTTCCCCTCCCATCAAGGGTGCCACATGCCTGATACGTTGAATTCATGGTTTCTAGTAGCCCAGCTTCATGTCTGGTAAGTGAAAAGTAAAATAGTAATATAACTGTTTTCAGGAAATTGTGATATGTACGTTAATGTGAGCAAAAGTAGACTCCGTGGTTATTGATAATAGTAGTTATATTCAGTTTACTAATTACTGCATTTTAGCAGTTCTCTACTAAAGAACAAAAAGTCCCATAGAGAAGGTAACGTTTTTTACATCTCTAAGGTCCTCAGGAGTGGACTGATCTTCGCTTGCAATGAGTTTTCTAAAAGTCTTGCTCAGCATATGTGGAAAAATCTTACTTGGGTGTTTTAGGAAAAGTTTAGATTTATGTAAAAGCCATTTAAATTGGGAGAATTTGTGGTGACTGAAGTTGCTGGTCATCAGAGGCATTTAGCAAATTATAGCAATGGCAATTTGTCATACACCTCTGAACTATACGTGCCGGTTGGTGAATGCCAGATTGGTTATATATAAAAATATTTAACACCTTAAACGTGATTTTTTTTTACCCTCCCTTTTTTTTTTTCATTTGTGAAAATGGTAGCCAAAAAAAATCAGGTTTTCATCTAGCATTACATACTTACAAAGGTCAGAGGGATGCACTAGGGAGTACAGTAATTTTTGTTAAGTGCCAGATCTTTCAGGAAACTGGAGTCCATAGATTTACATTCAGCTTATCCGACGGCTGAAAGGAAGTTTGTACTGAAATAGCTGCTCTTAAGCATAGGCGCCTTATTTCCTTGCCTCCTTTTTTTCCCTTTCCCTCCTTTTAATTTCCTGTCTCCTCAATATATCGAAAGATGGGGCAGCTCATTTCACTGAAGAATGAATAAATTAGCAAACCCATTGAAATTATAATCGGTTAGTGAAATCAGTGGAATCAAGTAAAGAAAACTCCTGAGATTTGCAGTTTATTTCTTACTGTTCCCTGTTGGAAAAAAAAGGCTTAAAAAAATTAATTGATAGGCTAATCATTCATGTAGATATTTGGAAAGCTACTGCAAGAAGCATTCAAAACCATACTGTTTGTAAGTATCTGGGGAAAAGCGAAGAGGCGTAACATGGATCTGCAAAGAACACACTTTTTTCACATCTTCTTAACTTCACTTTGACAGGAAAATGTACGCTGTGATACACAGCCTCAGATTCCAGGTGCATAATCTCCTTTCATGATGGGCAGAGAAGCAAACAAGGGAGGTGAAACTAGTATGAGATAGACACAAAAACTTGCAGATCAAAGCTGTGTTGGAGAAGGCCAAGGATTGCCAGACTTTGAGCCAGTGATGTTAAGGAGACATTTAACAAGGGAAATGTAAGTAATCTTATATTTAAGATATGATGGACAGGCTGGCAGCCACAGACTACACAAGCAGGATGGAACCACATCCCTCTGCTTTGTATAACACCAATGAAAAATGAACTGTGGAGGTTAGCACTAAAGGTTCATTTTTCCAAGGTTTTTGTGCCTGGCTTCTCTGTGTTCCTGGCAGTTTGACCTAAGGAGTGCTGTCGTGCTGGACCACAAAGGAAAGATCAAGTTTGATATTCCAGGATACAGAGAAGCCTGTGATAGGCCTGCCTAGAACCACAGAATGTTGGAGGTTGGAAGGGACCTCTGGAGATCATCTAATCCAACCTCCCTGCCAGAGCTGGCACACCTCAAGCAGGTTGCCCAGAGTGGCATCTGAGCAGGCTTTGAGCATCTCCAGAGACAGGCTCCAGCACCTGTCTGGGAAGCCTGTGCCAGAGCTCTGCTGCAGGCTTGGCTTGTGATTAGCTCCGTGACAGCGTCCTTCCATGACTTTCACGGTCAGCTTTATTGCTCTGTTCCCTGTGATTCTTTTAATCAGTTTGACCTCAGCAAAGCGGGAGCACCGCATTATTGATTCTGCTAGCTCTGGCAAGGTCAGGGACATCCTACCCCTGTCTGAAGGCTTCCAGATTTTTGTCCTTCCTGCTGCGCCATCTGCTTCAAAAGCTAGAAACTTTCCTCATCCGGTGGCCAATGACCTAACCCTGTAAATTCGGATCAACATGTATTAAAACATTCCTGTTCCCCCTTGCAGTGCAGTCTAGATGACTTGCTGGTGTACTTATTTCTTCCCTCCTCTTGAGAGTTTTAGTTTCAAGTGATGTAGAGTGTCTTTGGAAGCCGGAGAAGATGACAATTTTTCCCGGGTTGGTAAACCCTGCCTCCTTTCTTGCTGTTGTCATCGCCCGTCATATTCTAGTCGACCATGTTTCTATGCTTTTTGCATCCCTCCTTTTTTAGACTTCAGATGCATATCATCCTGTGTTGGGGATTCTCAAGGGTCCTCTGGAGCTTTATCTCTTATTTCTTCTTGTCTGCAAATACACTTTCCAACTTAACTCCAGTCAGAAAGGGGGGAAAACGAAACTCTTGTGTTTAGCCTCTGGTTTTGCTAACTTCTTTCAAGGTAACGTTCTTTTAGATACACTCTGGTGTCTTCCAGTGCAGTGCTAAAATTATACTTTGGAAAACCAAGCTATCAATATTCTTTCCTGAATGTCATCCTTTCATAGGCCATTTCTGTTGCTTCACACCTTGATGTGAGGAAGACTTTCATTCTATTTAAAAGTCCTGACCTTTTAGAAAATTCTCAAGCTGTTGGTCTCCACTGCTGGGTTTGCCTTTTGTGGCGCAGTGGCAGTCTGAAGGGAGTATTGACTGGGGCCGGAGCTGTTAGGAAGCTGCCAAAGAGATGACTTTGGTGACTGCACAAACAAATGTCTCGATGTGGGATGTGTCGTGTAGATACCTAGAGCTTCCTTCATATTTTCACCGCACCAGATATGGTGACATCTCTAAAGTATTTAGGGTCAACATAGTGTGGTGCTACAATTGCTCTTCTGAAAGACTCCAAGATCTGTTGCAAGAATTCTTCTGAGCTTTGTTTTCCCTAAAGAAATCTGCACTTGGGAAAGTGTTGATCAGTCTGAGAGGAGAATAAGAGCCACCAACTATGTGGAAAACCGTTCCTGCAGGAAAATATTCCTCAGATTTGTATAGAGAAAACCGAGGACACTGTAGCATTTTGAAATACGCTGCTTCAAAAGGAAGGGAGCGAACTCTCTGTGTTTTGTGGTGGAGAAGGTAGGGGGAAAAGGGTTTAAAATACATTAGAGGAGTCTTGCTTGAGAAAGCTTTTAAGAACATGATTATCTGCAGTGTCATAGGCATTTAACTGATCCTGCCTTAGCAGGAGGGAGTGGGCTCTGTGGCCGAAGCAAAGGCAGCAGGGAGAGGAAGACTGCACAGCCAGGTTCGATTCGGTTAGCTTGTGTCCCAGCAAAGACCTGTGTGTAGCTGAAAATACAGTAATTAGTGAACTTGACTGAGGCACGGGATAACATGCAAACATAATGAGGAAGAGTTCAGAATTCTCCTTATTAACCACTATTTGTAGAAGTGTATGTCACAACACAGGGTGGGAAACTGCTGCATCTCATCTAAGATGGGTTGGGTTGTGGACGCTCCTGTTCCTTTCCAGGCATCCTTTTATATAATTTTCATTTCTCTGCATAATTTAAATACGGCATGAGTTATCCAACCCAGCCAATGTCAGGTAGGTAGCCTTCTAGAGATAGTTTGAAATAATTTTGCTTTCATGGCTTGAGAAAGATGAGTCAGTATCTGACTTAAACTACATAACAGATTCCGTAGCAAAACGAGGAAACCTTTCACGCCGTGTTGATCTAGTTAAAAGGTTTATGGTCTTTAAGGAGTCTGCGTCTTTCAAACCTCAGACAGCAGGTGTAGTAACAAACTACCAAGTTTTCAAATAAACTGCAGAATTCCATGATCTCACTCGTGGTGCTGCAGAACAGCTCTGTGACAGCACTGTGCATCCAAACACAGAGCCGCCTTTTAGGCGTCGTGGGCAGCAGGTTCTGCTGTGAACACCCCTCCAGCCCTGCCCAGCAGTGCCCAGATGGGAGCTTTTGCTCTCTCCTCCTGCTTTGCCACTGCTCAAGGCAGACTGGACAGCAACAAGTATTTATGCTTGGGAGGAAGTTTTCGTGCCAAACCACTCTTAATCTCTCCCCTCCATCAGCTTGCGTGTTCAGCAAGAGAAGTATAAAAATGCTTTTTGTAGCCAAAAATTCATCTTTTAAACTGGGTCTTGTTAAGAGGGGGTAGAAAATTGGGATACAGTAACTCTTACTAATTAACTTTTTCATACAGCTCAGTTATGCAAACACGCAAGAGGAATAAACATTATGAAACTGATGGAAGACACAAAAGTTTTAAGCTCCTTTTTTTTTTGTGTGTGTGTGGAAGGACTGGTAACTGGGCTGCTGTTCTCACTTCTGAACCACTGTTCTAGCAGAAAGCTTTGTCCTTTTTCTGTGAGCAAGACAAGGATTTATTTCTTGATACCATCCTAATTGCATTTTTTTGCTGGGGCAGTGGTGCTGTCGGACAGACACTGAGCTGTCGCAGTGCAAACCTTACAAAAACCTTACAAAGCAGTGCAAATCCTTACACAGGTCCGTTCACTGAGACAGAACTTCCCACTGTTCCCTCAACGTTTCCTTTGGTGACCACTGCTCTTCCCCTTCTCTGCCCACCCCCTACCCAGACTCTCTCAGTCACTCCACCCTTGGTTTACTTGTCGTGCCCCAGTCCCTCTCTCCAGTCTTCTGACCTCGCTCCACCTGGCTTGTGTTGGAGCTCGGGCTGTCTCTCACCCTGGCCAGTGTCATGCTCAGAAGCTCTCCAGCTAGACATCAGATTATGGTCCATGGGCTTTTCTTCTTTGAATTTTGGTGTCTCACTTGAATGGCCCTTTTCTGGGACTTAAACATGTGGTTCTAATCAGAAAAAATACGATCTAGGCCTAGTTTTTGTTGCCTTCAGTTAGTTTTGTCTCTGACTCATCACTGGCAATAAGTTTTGCTTCCTTTGCTGGTTAAAAATACTTCCCTTTACTAATCAGGACACGAAATAGAATCCATCACAAAGGCTGGCATCTGCCCTTTTGTGGGTCAGCTCAACAGACAAGCCTCAGGTGTTGATTCTCCCTATCAAGCTGGCATTCACAGGTCACCAAATGCTTTTAATGCCTATAGAGTGAGGCACAAATCTTATGTCTGCTAAAGAAGTGAACAAATAAAAAAATAATCATCACTTTTATCACTTCACTCTTGTGACGCACTCCCTGCTGTTTGTAGGCAACTGCTTCTGAGCGGCCTGCAGCAGCTCTGCTCTGTTGCTTTTACATAAGCTCTGAGCAGACTTTCCTGTGAGCAGTTTCCCACCTGCAGCACGTCTCTGCGCGGAGCAGTGACTTCTTTCAGCTCCAGCGTTTGAGCAGCACCTCACCTACAGTGGCTCCGTTGCTCCTGGGCTGGCACTTCTGGCTCATAACACAGGACCGGGGCCGATTAGCGAGGGAGAGAAAGTGGGACTGGCGACAGGACTGGTCTCTTGGGGCAGGATTAGCCTGTGTTTCAGTTCGTCCTGTTTACAGATGTTGTAAAAGAGGCAAAATAAGATTTTTGTTGCGATGATTTATTTTTCAGGCAGAACAGCAGCGATGAGGTTCAAGTGGCTTTAATGCTTAAAAACTAAAAAAAGGTAAAGCAACTCAGCCTGCTGTTCTCATTAAAATCCCACAATGCACTTACAAACCTGTGAGTTCTTCTAGCACAGACTGTGTGCAGGAGGTTTGCCAAGGGGTTGAACATGTATCGGAAGACCCCTGCAGTTGAAATAATTTAGGAGATCGCTAATGTAACTTGCTTAAACTTTCACAGCCTGGCTAGTTCTGACTCTTCCAGCACTTAAATACACCACGCTGAATTACAGCTGGCTGGTGGCCTAGGATTAGACAAGTCATTTGTTCCTGCTCCAAAGGGTGCTGTGTTCTTCAGGCGGAGAAGTTCAGATTGCAGTACAGATTAAATAGATTACAGCACTCTCAGCCAGAATGGAGTCCACCATCACTTTTCCACAGCTGGATTGGCCAAAATCCAGCAGATACAGCTCTTGAGTAGAGAACAGAAAAGTTTGTAATAGTTTTTTTATTAAAAAGTAAAATATCTTTGTATGTGCTTTTTTTTTTCCCGATCACAAAATCAAATACTGTAAGGAGAATCTTAAATAAATGAAAATATACATAATTTACTCTTTACATTTGAAGAAAAACTAGAAGCTGTGAATTTGGGGTTTATGTCCTTGCAGGATGTGCCTGGTCCGAATGAAGCAGGAGGGTCGCACGGGCAAATACATGTGTCGCTACATAGTTCACTGCATGTGGGAGGATGTTGAACAGCGTGGCAAGGTGATGGGGGTAAGTCATCTGCGTGTTGGTAATCTTGATGATTCGCATCTCTCGGTGCTTTTGTAACTTTGCATATCTTAAAAGAATGCATAAGAATGGACCTGTAGATGCTGAAGCTCAACACGAGCTGGCAGGGCGCTCGTGCAGCCCAGAAGGCCAACCGCATCCTGGGATGGATCAAGAGAAGCGTGGTCAGCAGGGCAAGAGAGGGGATTCTCCCCTTTTACTCTGCTCTTGTGAGACCCCACCTTGAATACTGCGTCCAGTTCTGGTGTCCCCACCATAAGAGGGACGTGGAGCTGTTGGAGCGTGTTCAGAGGAGGCCACAAGGATGATCCAGGGGCTGGAGCAGCTCTGCTACGAGGACAGGCTGAGGGAGCTGGGATTGTTCAGGCTTGAAAAGAAAAGACTTCAGGGGGACCTAATAGCTGCCTTCCAGTACCTGAAGGGAACCTACAGGGAGGCTGGGGAGGGACTTTTTACAAGAGTGTCCAGTGATAGGACAAGGGGAAATGGGTTTAAGTTGAAGGAGAATAGATTTAGATTGGACCTTAGGAAGAAATTCTTCAGTACGAGGGCGGCAAGACTTTGGAATAA